GGGGGGGGGGGGGGCACGGGGCCATGGGCCCCCCAAAACCTCTGAGAGTATGTTTTGCCCCCTCCCCCAAAAAAACATTCTCAGAACTTCATAAAAGTTTCGCCTACTTACTGTCTATGTTAGCTTAAACTGTTCTGTTTTGCTTTAACTTCTGTTCAAGATTCAAAAGCATTTCGGTGTTTTTTTTATTTTGAATGATGTCCCTGCTAGGTACTCGCGAGAGGCACCATGCACTGGACCTCGGATCCCACACCACCCAGCTGGCGACGAACGGCTGCCCCCACCCCCCCAAAAAACAACACCAGGCTAGATCTGTCCCTGTGAGTTCCTCTAAACCTTTAGCGCTGAGTGTCTCTGTCAGACTTTTCTGGTTCTACGGATACATTGAGGACCCCGTTAATGTTGATTGTAGGTCGAAATGTGGCAAAAATTTCAACTTCTTGACCAACCCATGTTCATCCGGCTATTTTGAGCCTTCTTTCACAATCGCATCGCGAAAAAATTGCCTACGTTTTGAGCACGCGTGTTCGAAACCTTTTGAAAAACATCTCGGACGCCTGGCGTCGTGATCTGCCTTGGCCGCGCGGCGTCGGTCCCGCGGCTGACACTGGGCGGCGGCCAGCAGGAGACGAAGACGGTGACGCATCTGAAAGAAATATCTTTGAACGCTTGATGTATCAATTCGTCCGGTTAAGAGGTTCTCCGGCCGGAAATTTTCCTGCTACGATTTTAGGTTGGTAATACGAACGGTCGCATTTACAGCATCGCGGTACTGATGACTGGTGGTGGAACTGGAAGAGTGAGGGTAGAATCTCTACTAGTTAACAGGTGGCCGCAACTGTTGATCTGTTCAGAAGACGACCTCAAAATTATACATGTGGGCTCTGCGCGCCAGTCTAATATTTGAACGGTACGAATGGATTTTGAAAGACCCGCGTCATGTGCTCAATGCCAGGCAGGCCGGCCACGCTGGGTGCGGCGGTTTTCGACGGCCAGGAGCACGGCGGCGGACGCCCCCCCCCCCCCCCCTATTAGGGGTGGCTCGGTCACATGACCGGTCTTCGTACCCTGTCGGCGATAGATGGACTGATGTCGTGCTGGGGCTGGCGGAAACACTGAATGGTGGCCACCGCTGCAGATAGCCTATTGTGACGTGGCGTTTGTGACGGACGGACGTGCGCCATGTGCATGGTTAACCTTGTAGCGCGAATAACCTAAGCACGGTGGTGCGGGCCTGCATCTATGTAGGGATCACAGCATAGCGCGGTCGGTATCAAGGCTCATTCTCGCACGCCCGGCACCTGGCGCCTGGTGTCACCAGCAACAGCGGTGTCAGCGGATAGCGCAGCTCGTTTTGACGGAAACCGCAACCCCGGCTATAGCTGTTTTTGCTCCCGAGACTGCGAGCGTGCAGTCTCAAAACTTTGTGATATAATTTGTTCCACAAGCCGATTTGGGAACAGGACAGACATACTGAAGCAAACATGGGTTGGCTTTTTCCATCCTTTGCATTACTTTGATCCATCCTAATAGACACTTGCGAGGCCCCTTATTTTCGTGCGTGCAAAAGGCCTATGAGTAGAGCACTAAGTGGCACACTGTATTTCCCAGTCACTGCTGAAGAGCTATTCCATCCCAGCGTGGGGAGCCTACCAGTGGCTATTCTGAGGACATAGGGCTGAGGTCTCCTGGTCAATTCAGAGGCTATTAGAGGGATGCGTCACACCTTAGTTTCATCGCTAATGCAGCAGGCCCTCTGACCACGGCAAATGGCCCCGAATCGACACGGGGCCTTCATTGATGCAAGAAGATCCTTTATCGCCTCAGGAGCCTAATAATTGGCGCAAGACTGTAGCCAGGCTTAACGGGCACCTGGTTGAAATGGGATGCCTCCCGTTCGGTACCGGATTCCCTTATTGACACAGGGCTCTTTCACTGTCTCACTATAAACTCTCACCATGAGTTCTCATAGTTTTACGGAAGTGCTGAGATGAAGTATTAGTATCACGGATGAAATTGTTGTTCAGACTATTGTCCTCGTATTGTGTGTTACCACTTACAATAACTATATGTACATACTAACACACCAGACGAGAATGATGTGGGCTCGTTGCGAAATGCAACAGTTCTGGTAGAGAACATGCTTTAGTTTTCATGTAGATAACCTGTTCAATACTTGGAAAGGAAAACCAGCGGCGTAAAAGCCGGCACGCATGGGCTAAAATTGGCGATTGACTGGTTTCCAGCCCGGGCATATGAAATTGGGCCTTGTACAAACGAGACTGATAAAGACTACTGCAATGAGAACCTAGTCCCTCTCCATTCAACCAGTCGTGCCCCGGATGGGACGCATAGTAAATAATTTTGAAAATCGCACGATGTTAATAAGCTAAAAGCTTCTAGAATTGTCAGCTGTTAATCGCTTCGTGCTCCTAGGAGAACATTCTCCCTGCTCGTGGATGGCTACTAAGGCTGAACAGTGTAGCGTATTTAAGAAAACCTCTCGCCTACTCACGCCGACGATTCAAGGCTCGGTCAGCTGCGGGCTCTCCGCACGAGCGGCCGAAGTACACTAGCTTGGGTGATAAAAGTCTATCTCTTTCAGATGGTCTGCTTTTAAAACCAAGACACTCACTTAACAGGCTATCTTGTTTTAACGGGCCTGTTCCACATTGGTATGGGGTTTTGGACTGAGATGTCCATTTTCAAGATAGTTCCCTGAAGTTCACAGTAATGCCCCGTTTAAGAATTCAAATCCTCTTGGTTCTGACGTGGGCCTGGGGTACCCCTGCCGTGGTCTGGAGTACATTCACACTCTCACCCTCACCTCCCTTCCCCCCCCCCCCCGCCCCTCATCGCAACGATTCTCATTTTGTTTAAGCTCTCGGCGTGCTATTTTAGCTTGGTTCCACAGAAAGCAAGTTTGACTCCACGTATAATTTTCCAATCCCTCCGAAGTGAAGTCCGGACTTCGCACATGAGTCCGTGTCCGAGTCCATGCCGTCTGATCTTGAGCTTAACTCGAGTTCAACGGTTCCAGAGCACATGAACCCGTGTCTCACACTCTCACGTTCATCACCTGTCTTCCTAATTCGCTCAAGTTCATCTGTTCCGTGCATAATGCCAAAGTACAAAATTGCCCTGGGCAAGGGAACTCAGGGAATTGACTATCGAAGGTGTTATGACCTTATTTTTACTTTATATTTGTGGTTCTAGAGCGCGTCAGCTACATTGACTATCTATCGCAGGGCCCTAACGCACCTGGCCATAGCCCTGCAATATAGCTTTTTTGACCATTTGTTTTCGCCCCAATGGTTCGGTCCTAATACATTTAACTTTAACCTACCAGCTCGGTAATCCATATTTGTCCGGCCATTCCGGCTAGCCCGGGTCAAAGTCGGAGCATCAGGCTTAAGTAACAGGGCATTAAGTGTTCTGTGGTATTAATGAGCTCGCGAGAATTTTTTCATAAAAACTGATGTATGTCCAGAAAGAGGCCGATCACGGTGATGAAATCCAATGGTATCACAACATTTCGAGACTCTTATCCACAAATCATGACGTGGTCTGAAGCGGTGAACTTGAAAACATTCATACATAGAGATGTAACCGACATTGCGCACAGTGTGTCGAAATCCAAATACAATTTCTCACATAATCTCTGGTTTTCGTTGTGCGGAATTATTACCGCACATTCCCCTCAGTCGTTGCTTCTGATGGTGAAGAATGTAACATATCATATACGCGGGCTCACATCAGCCGTCATTGGTCCTCGATTCACTGACTGCGTGCGCGTTGAATTATAATAAGCCACGAAGCAGACATTGGGAATTAGTTTGAGAACACCCGATATTTCTAGCAGTGCTCACCGTCACAAGTGGTCTAACCACTGCTTCCATTCAGCGTCACAAGTGGTCCAACCATCGTTTCATGCATTTCTATAACCAACATTTCCTACCATATTGCGGATCGGTTATTCCGGGCATAAAAACGTTTAATAACGTTTTCATGCGTCAATTTGCTCTAGTATGGATCGCTATTAGCGACTCAGTGCCATTATATTTCTATGTTTTCACGTTTCTTAAAGCGTTTCGCACGTTGGTGTACCTTCCTGGCAAATGGTCTGCCTTTAAAGCTGAGGCACTAATTTTCCTTAACAAGATGCACCAAATTTTAGGCATGCCGCGTCAAGCCAGGCAAATGCCAAGCAGGCCAATTAGCAAAACAGTGGCGATACATGAAAAGTCATGGATATGTTAAATGAGTTATACAACAGTGTATAACTCATTTAACATATCCCATCATCGACATCCCACCTCAACTATTCCCGTTGGAATAACGTGTTCGTGGGACTGCTCGTGGGACCTGTTCCGTCATAAACTGACATGCTGAACGTGGCTTTCAACATGAAAAAGGGACCCGTTTGGCGGCAAATGGTCATCCTGCACCATAATTCCTTGTGAAGAAATGATGTGAGGTAAGAGACCATCGGCTGACCTATCGTGACCTTGAGCCTAGATAACATCGTGTTCACCATATTCATCAAGATGACGCACATTTGTTTCAGTTACAGACCTTTGAAGCTCTAACTCCCGTCACTACCACTCGACGCCCGCCGGACATGTCACCAGCATCAAGAGGGAAGGGACGACATGGCGCCTTTGATGTCACGCACGCATCTGACGGCTAACCATGCGTCTGACATCGTGTGTCCGCGCAGTTCATCATGTTACTCACGCCCGCGCGCGCATTCCTATGTGCAGTGGGATTCCGCGCGAACGTGCACACGAACCGACTGCACGCTTGCCGGCTTCAAATTGGTGCCGCCGACACCACTTTCATTAAAATGACTAAAGTCGTGAACAGGTGCGACTGTGTAAAGTGCAGTATGCGGCTCACATGGGAGTACCACGACAGCAAAGCGGCGGACACGCTCAGAATGTTTCTCACGTCAGACGCTCAGAATGTTTCTCACCTAAGACGCTCAGAATGTTTCTCACCTCAGAAGCTGCGCTGGCGCGGGGAGCGTCCGGGCGGTCCCTCAGCTGCCGATACTCGGCCTCGATCCGGGAGCGATCCGACCCGCCTCTGCTCTGCGCAGGCAGACCGCCCGCTGGCCTGCTTGTGCACGGTCGGATGCCCCGGATCTGTCGGTCCCCAGCCAGTGGGGTCCACAGAGCCTCTGCCGTCCACAGATGAGCCGGTCGGTCTGTCCACAGCGGAGTCGATCCACCTCTGTCCGTCCACAGCGGAGCCGATTCACCTCTGTCCGTCCACAGCGGAGCCGATCCACCTCTATTCGTCCTCAGATGAGCCGATCCGCCTCTGTCCGTCCACAGGCGAGCCGATCCACCTCTGTCCGTCCACAGAGGAGCCGACCACCTCTGTCCGTCCACAGACGAGCCGATCCGCCTCTGTTCGTCCCCGCTCTCGGCCCGACACCCGCAGCTCGATGCGCGCCGCTGAGCCGCCTCGAGCGGCCGACTCGACACGCCGGACAGCCCCGGGACGCGCTCCGACGCCGGCGGCCGAGGCGCCAACTGAGACCCCAGGGTGGGCGCAGACGAGGGGGGGGGGGGACGACGACCGACGGGATAACGCAGGCGCCGACAGACGTGGCGGCGGCGGCGTCATCATGAACGCAATCACGGGCGAGACTTGCGCCGGTGGTGGAAGGAAAGGAGGACACATTCCACCTCGTCGCAGGTCTTCCGGTCTGTTTTCAGAACATTGGCGGTGTGCGTGTGCGGCCCTATTATGGTGATCTGATGCGATGCGATCTCTCGTCGCAGCAAGTGACTTGGTTTGCTTTCCTGCACGCAAGCGCAACATTTCCTGTCCTTGTCGGATATCAGCCTCTCAGGTAATGATAATGATATGGGCAGGTAATGATAAAGTAGCCTCGAAGATAGTTGACAATTTGATCATCTGAGGACCAGATAAGGTCACTCACCTGGAAAGTTCATGAGTGATATTTTGATTCCAAACGGTATCTAGGTTGAAGCGGTGTGAATGAGGAGATTTGAGGGTACTTCGAACACTTATCTCGAGTATGGCCTTGGCTGACGTTTAACCGAACAGACACAACACAGATAACTCAAAAGTTGACACAAGTGATACACAACTGGTCCTACCTACCGTGTTTCGTGCTTTGAGCTTTCTGCCTACATTAATAGACGAGTAGCTGCCTCGTAACCATTCCGTGACGAGCCCAGGTGATGAGTATACTTACTCCTGAAGCTCATCGATATCATTGTTTTTAACTATGATAGACCAGAGGTAAGCAGTGGAAGATCATTTATGCGTAAAATGAGACTAATTGGGCAAAGATGCACCCTTCGGGCACCCTCATAACAACTTTTGATAAGGTGATGTGGTAGGTCGTGTTTTCGTGTATAATTTTCGATCAAATGAATATGATCAGATGATGCGAGTTTTTAAAAGCAAATCAATCTGAATAGTGTCGGGAGCCTTTTGCAGGTCAAAGCGTACTCCTAGAACGTATTCACCTTCCTCAAATACTTCGGCACATGTTCGTGCAAAAGCAAAACTGGTCAAATTTCACGGACTGGATCACTCCACGGATGGCGGATCAACCCACGGGCGGATTGGACAAGATCCGTTGGATTCTTCACAACGAATGCGACTTTTCAGAAAACGGCTAACCATCGGCGTGGCGTAAATAGGCTGAGTGAGATTCCGCGTGTGCGGGGGCCTGGTGTGTCTCACAGCTCATCCGCTAGCCAACAGGGATTCCCTTGTTCCCTTTTGTTGCGCCTTGGTTCTCCAGTTTCTCACACATGCGTCCCTGTCCCGAAGGGCTGGGCAGTCGTGATAAGAACGGTCAATGAGTGGCCCGGACACTCTCACTGTGGCCGATCAGTGAGGCGCCGGTCCCACAAGTCCGCTGTGGCCGGGACCCCTTTCTGTGGCCGATCAGTGAGGCCCGGTTCCATGGGTCTCTTCACAGCCCGGCCTTAAGGGTCTCTCTCTACTGGACGACCCTCGTTATGAACGTGAACTACGTAGCTACGTAAATTCGTCCCGGACCAAGGAGCCCCGGAGTCCTCCTATTCCTCATTTGGGGCCAGTTTGAGCTTTGGCCTTAGGAACACTTTTGTGCCAAGAATTACGCATATAAGAAGTCCATGTTTTTCAGGGCAGCCCTTTTGTAATGGACCTCTTGCGGACAGAAAAGCCCCCTAAATGTGACCGACCGCCCCCGAAAATCCGAAATGCTCAGCCTCCTTAATAAAACCCCCTGTTTACTCGTCGTTTAGGATCCCCTGATCATTACATGACAATGCATGCATTATTTCAGCATTAGAGCCCTTTAGACGTAATCTGAGTCTGGAGACTCTTTTGTATTCCTTCCTGGCAGGCTCCCAGATCCCTGTAAAGACAAATTATTATGTGGGAAAGGGTCACTCCAGGCCCTCCTTGGGCACTCTTTTTGTCATCCTCCCACATCCGGTGTGCCGCGATGGGCTCCTTTGAGCCCGACCTGAGGGGGACTATGGGTCCCCTCTCGCCGCGCTTCTGGGCCACGACACCAGCTATGAACTTGCGTGCGGGGGATCGAGCGCAGTGTATCGGAGCCAGGGGAGCGAGGAGCCGCTGAAGAGTTGACCTATTAGCAGGGTGTGGTTATTCAAAAATCCATCTGATTCCCGGAAAATGGAATAGTGACCTAGCCAGTATTTTGCCTACGAGGAAACCAAATCGGGTCATAGAGGCCATTTCAGTCAGTGAGTCCGTTTTAGGGCTGGGTGTTTGATATATATTGATTGATATTGATACATCTATATTGATACATCGTGACGGTTTTCATGTTTTAGAAACCCCACGGTGGTCTCATGCTGCCAAAAAGTATCGGACCTCCGGCCCGAGGGAACCCTCGCCACCTCCAGGAAAGGGGGGGGGGAGGGGAGTGCCATCACCTCAAAATCCCTCTCTTGGCTACGCCACTGCGTGCAAACATGTTCTTGATGTGGGCGGAAATGAGAAACTCATCACTCTGATTTGTATTTTGCCTTCTCATCTTTCCTGGGAGATATTTATGTCTACCAGGGAGGCACAAGAAACTAATGATTGTAGCTGAGCACAAATCAAGCGTAGCAAGATCAGCTTACTTCCATTTGCGTGGACGGATTAGGAGACAGCAGGATGTTGGAATTCTCGAGTGCGCCGTTCGATATCGGTCGGAGCTGTGATTCACTTACTGTTGATATGCCGGGCGAGACATTTGGTTTAGCTTTATCTTGATGCGGTGCAACGAAATGTCAATGAAGTTTCGAGATCAAGACTGCGGCACTAAAATAAAGAGTGCTGATTACGCGAGCTTCTTTTCTCGTACCGTCATCGCCCTCAAGTCCCGTGCCCTGACTACACATTTCAACTGGTGGCTAACCAGGCTGCCACCAGGACGCCTGTTCAAAAAATGCTCAGCACGCGCCAGGGGGCCATCATCGCAGCTCGAGAAATTGGTCGGGCTGGTGCCTGGTTAACGTTAGGCGGTGACGTCACAAAGTCGCAATGGCTCGCGTTGCGGCGTTGCATGGCAACGTCGACTGCGTCGCGTGGAAAGCGGTCGTCACGCAGAAATGCTGTGGTTGGTCTTGTCTATTATCGTCAAGGCCGTGTAATACCAATGTAATGTATCAAATGTGATATCATGATTATCGTGCAGTATGGCTTCCAGTTTGTATTGTTGTGTGGCCTCAGTGCGTGCTATTATGTCGCGAATGAGAGAATTTTGAAGCGATGTGTGAGCGTGGGACAAAAGTAAGCATTAAAGGCAGTTCTTTTGGCGGCGAGATGCCATCCTGTGAAGTGGTCGCTTGCAATAATGTGAAACGGCACAACAAAAACATTTTTGTTACTTTTCCAAAAAAACGATCCAACTGTCCTGAAAACATGACTGCACCGTTGCTCTTGGACTAACACTATGCATGCGGAGAACGCGATACTCTGATCTGATCATTTTCAAGATTATGGACTGATCCTGGACATCTGGTCAAAGCCAGTCTCATATCCAATGTTAAACCGTGCCTTCGACCAAGTGCAGTACCTTCTATGCGACTGGACATCGCCGGCGCGCTGAAATGGGTATGCGTGTGCTTCAAAGAAAAATTCCCGCCTGTTTTATGCAGACATTTTTTATCCTGAACCAGTCACTAGTGCATGCATAATCCATGCCGCTCTGTGCAGTTTGTAGACTACAATACGAGATTCAAGCGAGATTTTCCGGCCATAATCTCGTTTACAAAGTGGGGCCTGACTACCACACAAGTGGCACAGTCATCCATGCTACACGGGCGAAGGGGGGGGGGGGGGGTGAGGGTCGGGACGCAGCCAGGGTTTGCGGCGGGGGGAGGGTAAGCTTACACGAGCGAGTCCCAGCCCCATTGACAGTACGTCTACGCACTGTGAACTGACCAACAAACCCCACTACCGTTGATAGGTACAGCGCCTAGCGCATCAATGAACTTCTAATATTGGTTTACCCTGGTGCCTTAAGCAGTTCTTTCACCTGCATACCGTACATGTTCACTCGGCTTTTTGCGAGTCTTGTTACTTATGAACCACTTCGAAAACCACTTCTTCGAACCACAGCTGTGCGGGAAGCGGCAACGCATACGGACGACGTGGATGCCGCCTACCAGCAAGCAGCCGCGATGTCTCCAATGCCCGTCCTGAACAAAGCGGACGAGAACGGCGGGCTCAGTGAGTCGGACAAAGGCAAGCTCCATGGCGGTGACGGCGAGAGGACCGAAAATGGCCCCCGCTGTGGCGACGAGATGGACAAGAACACGCACATCGAGCACGAGGCGCTGGCCTTCGTTGTGGGCTTCGTGGCGGCCAAGTGAAAACACCCCGATCCAGGTATGGGACTGTCGACCCGAGAGGCACCACCCAGCTGTGTGCCAGACAGCTGGATACACACGATTAGACGGGGTGGTCTGATGGTGCTTTTGCCGGCCTGGACGAGCGTTCCGAGGCTTTCGAGATCGTGCTCCAACTAGTGATGGACCGAGGCATGGACCAAGACATTGGCATCATGGACCGCCCACAATGCTCCTGGTGAGAAAGTTCTGCGCTGGACAAGCGGATTGCTCGGAAGCTGGTGAGGATGCGCATCCATCTGCACCTCAGATGGCTTAATCAGGCTGGGACTGAGCGAGCTGCTGCCAGGCGCGCAGCTTAACAGGTGCGGCATCAGATGGACAGCGCGAAGTGAATATGGTTGTGCTTTTGTGAGCATAAGAAAGTGAGCTTAAATAAGCATCGCTATGCCTTTTTTGTATTGCA